TGTAGCGTGTATCTCCTGGCCGTTGTGTAGCGTGTATCTCCTGGCCGTTGTGTAGCCTGTATCTCCTGGCCGTTGTGTAGCCTGTATCTACTGGCTGTTGTGTAGCGTGTATCTCCTGGCCGTTGTGTAGCCTGTATCTCCTGGCCGTTGTGTAGCGTGTATCTCCTGGCCGTTGTGTAGCCTGTATCTCCTGGCCGTTGTGTAGCGTGTATCTCCTGGCCGTTGTGTAGCGTGTATCTCCTGGCCGTTGTGTAGCGTGTATCTCCTGGCCGTTGTGTAGCGTGTATCTCCTGGCCGTTGTGTAGCCTGTATCTCCTGGCCGTTGTGTAGCCTGTATCTACTGGCCGTTGTGTAGCGTGTATCTCCTGGCCGTTGTGTAGCGTGTATCTCCTGGCCGTTGTGTAGCCTGTATCTCCTGGCCGTTGTGTAGCGTGTATCTCCTGGCCGTTGTGTAGCGTGTATCTCCTGGCTGTTGTGTAGCGTGTATCTCCTGGCCGTTGTGTAGCCTGTATCTCCTGGCCGTTGTGTAGCCTGTATCTCCTGGCCGTTGTGTAGCGTGTATCTCCTGGCCGTTGTGTAGCGTGTATCTCCTGGCCGTTGTGTAGCCTGTATCTCCTGGCCGTTGTGTAGCCTGTATCTACTGGCCGTTGTGTAGCGTGTATCTCCTGGCCGTTGTGTAGCGTGTATCTCCTGGCCGTTGTGTAGCCTGTATCTCCTGGCCGTTGTGTAGCGTGTATCTCCTGGCCGTTGTGTAGCGTGTATCTCCTGGCCGTTGTGTAGCGTGTATCTCCTGGCTGTTGTGTAGCGTGTATCTCCTGGCCGTTGTGTAGCCTGTATCTCCTGGCCGTTGTGTAGCCTGTATCTCCTGGCCGTTGTGTAGCGTGTATCTCCTGGCCGTTGTGTAGCGTGTATCTCCTGGCCGTTGTGTAGCGTGTATCTCCTGGCCGTTGTGTAGCCTGTATCTCCTGGCCGTTGTGTACTGTAGCCTGTATCTCCTGGCCGTTGTGTAGCCTGTATCTCCTGGCCGTTGTGTAGCGTGTATCTCCTGGCCGTTGTGTAGCCTGTATCTCCTGGCCGTTGTGTAGCCTGTATCTCCTGGCCGTTGTGTAGCCTGTATCTCCTGGCCGTTGTGTAGCCTGTATCTCCTGGCCGTTGTGTAGCCTGTATCTCCTGGCCGTTGTGTAGCGTGTATCTCCTGGCCGTTGTGTAGCCTGTATCTCCTGGCTGTTGTGTAGCCTGTATCTCCTGGCCGTTGTGTAGCCTGTATCTCCTGGCCGTTGTGTAACCTGTATCTCCTGGCCGTTGTGTAGCGTGTGTTGTGTGTTTGCTCTTTAATATGACACTCAGTTAAGCAGCATTTGGACGTAACTTTTCCAACAACTCATCAGGAAAGTCACGTTTTTACTACAACACTATACTTATTGTGTTGTGTTGTGTTGTGTGGGTTTATACAGAGGCGCTGCGCAGACGTTTCATAACTAATAACAGAAACGACCAAGCTCCTTCTGCAAATTTCACAGCGTTCATTCGATCAGTAATGGGCAGAGGAACTTTACAACACGACACATGTGAGACCCAATATTGGAATAATGGACAAAGACATAACTCCAAGAACTGTTTCTTTATTTTCTCATTCCAAGGGAGACATTTCTGTATCTTTTTTCATCATTTTGCTTTGTCCCGTTGGAAAATCTTGTTGTAAGGCTCAGTCAGATGTTGCCAAATAATTTATTTATTTTTCATCACTTTTTGCAGTGCAGTAAACATCACTGTCACTTCTGCATCAATAAAGATTGACTTGAAACCCAGTGTTTAAAAAAGTAAATGGGCTCAATTATATATATTGGAGTACATTCCTTTGTCCTGCTCGTTACAGACATTCTGGACATTGTCAAACGTTATCGTAATGCCCCCCGTGCCCCCCGTGCCCCCTCCCTCTCAGACATAAATAAGGGTTCTGTGCAGATGATGCTGTCTCTGCTCCGGTTAGAGGCGAAGAATGCACCTCTTTATAACCGGGAAATCTGCACCACATGTGTTTACAGCGAGGAGGCAGGAGGATGTGGGCCTGGGCTTTCTCTGCTGGACCGACAGGCGAGCAGGGTGTTCCAGAGGTCCGCTCCAGCCCCCCCTCCCTCCCCTCCCTCCCCTCCCCCACCCCCTCCCTCCCCCTCATCCAGGACCTTGGTCTAATGCGTCCGGGTCGAGGGTCAGACAAAGCTCCTATCTGCGGCGCACAGGCCTTCACCCGCCTTGACTCCGCTCTACAGTCTGTTTGAACAGCAGCAGACTCTGGGAAGAGGCCGGTGTAGAAATGCAGCTGATGTAGGAACTAAATGTTTATTTGTGAAGAAAAGGTTTGTTGAATCAGCCGTTGATCTCCAAACGTCTTCCTGTTTAAGAGCAGAGAGACACGAGGAAGTTCAGGGAAGACTTCTGTTATCAGGGATGTTGTTTGTTTATGGACTTATTCTTTTGACTTTACCAGAGATTCAATTCAATTCTTTATTTACAAAACTTATATTCATAGAAGTTATACACATTTATAATGGAGAGTTGGTTCGTGTTTTTTAAAAGAGAACTCCAGGGAAGCTGCATTAGCTTTAGACAGGGCCCCAAAAACAATATATGTAAAAGAAAAGTGACAATTTATACCATTGTATCAACAGTCGACAACAGTGCATTAAAACACATCGTACTTGAGTCGTGTTGTGCGGTTAAACAGTCGTCCATCTGTTTTGCTTCTTCAATACTTACATACTGTACATCCACACATGGACATTGGTCTCTGCTCCTATGGATCATTGGCTCTATGTGTTTATTTATTTATTATTCTTAAGGATCCATGTGTTTCTTGTGTTTGAACTGTTCTAATCCAACTCTAAGTTAGCAAACCAACATCTTTGTAAAGTCCCCTGAGACAAATGTGTTGTGATTGAGGCCTATACAAAAAGAATTTAAATGAATCCATTATAATTCACACTCATCAAACCAGTGAGGTCCTGAACGGCGTCTGAATATTCGTGCCGCTGCTTCCCCTGCTCCCGGACTTCTTCTGCAGAATGTAACCACGGCAGAAACACGGTCCACATATTGTCCCTGTTTATCGGAGCCTGCCTCGTGGCCTCTCATTAGCGTGTCTGACTGTACATGATGGATCTATTACATCACATAATTGAAAGTAAACCTCTGGGGAGCCCTGACCTGCAGCGGCGGCATCGTCCCGCCGCACATCAGGCCTCATTTACATCCGTTTAATTGAAAACTCAGCGATGGCTTCTCTCCCGCGCTGGATGGTGGGTCGGCTGAGCATGTGTTCTCAGGTTAGTGTCTTGCCCAAGGGACGTGTGGCGGCTCCACTTCTGTCACAACAGAGCTGCTCTCGGAGGAGCAGCCCAGAAGGAATTGCTCTGACACTGGAGCTTTATGGCGCAGTGTTTACTCGGAGGAAATTGAATTGAAAAGAAAAGCAAAGCGGAGCAGGTCGCGTGTGGCTGCGGCTCAGAGCGCGGTGTGAGGTCCGACAGTGACGGGAAAACTTTTAACGCTGGACAATGTAAGAAGTGAAATTGGTGATCGCCATTTTAAAGGACTATACCATGTACCACCGCGGATGACCCGGGACGTAATGCTTCTGTTTTATACTGTGCTGTGATGGGAGAACTCTGGGTCGTTGTGTTCTACCAACATCAGAATGAGTCTAAATCACAACAGTAGTTAACTCAGAGGAAACCGTTGAATTCGCCAACATAGATCAGAGAATCAAACAGTTGAAACACAGAGAATATAAAACACATGGTATTGGTCTTTTCGTTAGACCTCTAACTGTCCAACAGACTCCTGCATCAGAGGAAACTCTGGACTCTAAAACCCAGTGCTAGAAAAGTAGAAGACTGTAGAACGAGGACTAAAAAGTGGCTCTTGGCCCAAAGCTCCGTTCCACATGTGTGTCAATGCTGAGGGAGTGTTCTGGACCAGTCTAGTTTAGTCGCTGTGGACTTTAGAAGTCACTAAATGAATGGGGCTGGTGCAGCTGACGCATGCGCAGATGCGTTTCTTCACATTTTCCGGCCCCCGCGGCCATTTTGAAACTGCCCATAGCAGGCGAGAGTGATGTCACGTTAGTTAGAACGGCGGAGACAGGCGTGACTACGTTCGTTAATATTTACAGTCTTTGACTAAGACACCATCAACCACCTTATTGACTAACAACCAAACACCTACAGCTGTAGATTCTAGCCTCTATCCGTTTGACTGTGGGAAAAACCGCATATATTTTTATTTCTCCAAAAACTTGTGAGAATGGAAACAGTTCAAATGCATCCGCAGTGTTCTTCACCATGACGCAGGTGTCAGACTGCTGCACGAGGCCCAGCTGGTGTGTGGCTCTCTGCCTACAGCAAGGTCTCATTCTCTGTGGAGTTTCAGGCCCCCGCACTCTCCGTGAGGCTGTCTCCTTCCAATATACCTGTTTCTCCTCCAATAATATGCACACTCTTTATGTGGAGACAAAAAACAACAAATACAAGGTTATATATTTACTCTTTTAATGTACTGCGATTATTTAGGATTCTGTTGCCTTGAGTATGAATTGTGCTATACAATTAAACTTACCTTGCCTATGTAGGGACTTTAAAGGTGATGTCTGGAGGAAAAGAATTCAACCAATGATGGCATCAAGGATTTGAATAAATTTAGACCAATCAGGGCGACAGTAGCTCGGTTGGTAGAGCATTGGCCTTTGGGCCTGAAGGTTGTAAGTTCGAATCCAACTCGAAACCTACTTCATGACTTTCACTGATGTCTGCTGTTGTTGTGTCCTTGGACAAGACACTTAACCCCACTTTGCCTGAAGCCCCCGCTGAAAGACCTCAGCTCCCGTGGATCAGTGAGGGGCTGGTGCTCTGTGACTGGGTGCAGCTCTGACTCCCACCCCCGACCCAGAAATGGATTAAGGGGAAGAAAATGGATGGATGGATGGACCAATCAGGAAGCTGCTGGGGTGTGCATGGGCGGGTCTAACTGGTGCTTGTCTACATAAAGTTTAACTCTCTTTTCACAGTTTGAAATTAACTGATTTTTACTTTAAATTGTCAAAACATGAGATAAAAGGCGTTGAAAGGATGGGTCAAGTGCGTGCAAATGAATCTTACGGAAAAAACACTGGATTCAAGCGAGTATTACGCCATATTTTTTGCAGTGCATCTGTAAAAGTCATCCCACATTTACACAACTTTGATTGACCTTATTTATTCCCACCAAAACCCTTTCCCATTGTGTCCCATTGTTTACAGTTTGGGCGCATTCACATAGAAATCAAACCGGCTGAAAACCACTGAACCATTCCTTCCTCTTCGCCGCTGTAGGCCTCAACGTGTGAGAGAAGCGACTGAAACCCAATGATCAGTAGAATATTTCTCTGATTTCCAGTGGGTCCCCGCGGTCCGGCCGCAGCTGTCCGTCACACCGGGGCTTAACGGACTCGGTTAACGCCGTTTGAGGCCGTTTGAGGCTCCATTCCTGCATTTCAAAGTCAGCTCCCATCCATCACATACCTGTTTCTTCTCCCATCATCATGCAGCGGCCGATATAGAATCCTTCTGTGATCTGGAAGCCAATAGCGCTGCCTTTGTTGTTCTTGGGAGACATTTTTGTACTTTTTTTTTCTTTTCCAAGAGCAGTTAGCGGCTGTTTTGTTGGTATTTTGATATGTTTATTTACCAGTAGGAGGCCTTTGATCGAAGTGGAGGCTGAGTGCTGTTTGTGTATGGGCGAGGGGAGGGAGGGGAGGGGAGAGAGGGGAGGGAGGGGGAGGCTGGGACTCTCCAGGGAAAGACCAGGAGCCTCTTGAATGGGAAATACAGAACTTCAGCTTGAGCAGGAAAAGATTGCAATTGCTACGATGTTGGGTGGGACTGAAGAGCAGGAGGGAGCCGTGCAAAAGAATTAATACACCTGGATTTTTATTCATTTTGTCATGTTTAAAACCATAGAACAAAGATTGTATGTGTTTCTTTACTGAACGTTCACGCACAAGTAACAGAGAACTGTGAAGTGAAAGCAGAGTAATTACAAAACATGATTCTGTTGTTTTGCCTGGTTGTTTCCTGCCTCAGTCCTGGGTCTTCAGCCTCAGTCCTGGGTCTGCAGCCTCAGTCCTGGGTCTGCAGCCTCAGTCCTGGGTCTGCAGCCTCAGTCCTGGTCCTACAGCCTCAGTTCTGGGTCTACAGCCTTAGTCCTGGGTCTACAGCCTCAGTCCTGGGTCTACAGCCTCAGTCCTGGGTCTGCAGCCTCAGTCCTGGGTCTGCAGCCTCAGTCCTGGGTCTGCAGCCTCAGTCCTGGTCCTACAGCCTCAGTTCTGGGTCTACAGCCTTAGTCCTGGGTCTACAGCCTCAGTCCTGGGTCTACAGCCTCAGTCCTGGGTCTACAGCCTCAGTCCTGGGTCTACAGCCTCAGTCCTGGTTCTACAGCCTCAGTCCTGGGTCTACAGCCTCAGTCCTGGGTCTACAGCCTCAGTCCTGGTTCTACAGTCTCAGTCCTGGGTCTACAGCCTCAGTCCTGGTTTTACAGCCTCAGTCCTGGGTCTACAGCCTTAGTCCTGGGTCTACAGCCTCAGTCCTGGATCTACAGCCTCAGTCCTGGTTCTACAGTCTCAGTCCTGGATCTACAGCCTCAGTTCTGGTCCTACAGCCTCAGTTCTGGGTCTACAGCCTTAGTCCTGGGTCTACAGCCTCAGTCCTGGTCCTACAGCCTCAGTCCTGGGTCTACAGCCTTATTCCTGGGTCTACAGCCTTAGTCCTGGGTCTACAGCCTCAGCCCTGGGTCTGCAGTCTCAGTCCTGGATCTACAGTCTAAGTCCTGGTCCTACAGCCTCAGTTCTGGGTCTACAGCCTTAGTCCTGGGTCTACAGTCTCAGTCCTGGATCTACAGTCTCAGTCCTGGGTCTACAGCCTCAGTCCTGGTCCTACATCCTCAGTCCTGGTCCTACAGCCTCAGTCCTGGGTCTACAGCCTTAGTCCTGGGTCTACAGCCTTAGTCCTGGGTCTACAGCTTCAGTCCTGGGTCTAGAGCCTTAGTCCTGGGTCTCTCAGTCGGGTCTCAGTCCTGGGTCTACAGCCTCAGTCCTGGGTCTACAGCCTTATTCCTGGGTCTACAGCCTTAGTCCTGGGTCTACAGCCTCAGTCCTGGGTCTACAGCCTCAGTCCTGGATCTACAGTCTCAGTCCTGGGTGTACAGCCTCAGTCCTGGGTCTACAGTCTCAGTCCTGGATCTACAGCCTCAGTCCTGGGTCTACAGCCTCAGTCCTGGATCTACAGCCTCAGTCGTGGATCTACAGCCTCAGTCCTGGGTCTACAGCCTCAGTCCTGGGTCTACAGCCTCAGTCCTGGATCTACAGCCTTAGTCCTGGGTCTACAGTCTCAGTCCTGGGTCTACAGCCTTAGTCCTGGATCTACAGTCTCAGTCCTGGGTCTACAGCCTCAGTCCTGGGTCTGCAGCCTCAGTCCTGGGTCTACAGTCTCAGTCCTGGATCTACAGCCTCAGTCGTGGATCTACAGTCTAAGTCCTGGTCCTACAGCCTCAGTTCTGGGTCTACAGCCTTAGTCCTGGGTCTACAGTCTCAGTCCTGGATCTACAGTCTCAGTCCTGGGTCTACAGCCTCAGTCCTGGTCCTACATCCTCAGTCCTGGTCCTACAGCCTCAGTCCTGGGTCTACAGCCTTAGTCCTGGGTCTACAGCCTTAGTCCTGGGTCTACAGCCTTAGTCCTGGGTCTACAGCTTCAGTCCTGGGTCTAGAGCCTTAGTCCTGGGTCTACAGTCTCAGTCCTGGGTCTACAGCGTCAGTCCTGGGTCTACAGCCTTAGTCCTGGGTCTACAGTCTCAGTCCTGGGTCTACAGCCTCAGTCCTGGGTCTACAGCCTTAGTCCTGGGTCTACAGCCTCAGTCCTGGGTCTACAGCCTTAGTCCTGGGTCTACAGTCTCAGTCCTGGGTCTACAGTCTCAGTCCTGGATCTACAGCCTCAGTCGTGGATCTACAGCCTCAGTCGTGGATCTACAGTCTCAGTCCTGGTCCTACAGCCTTAGTCCTGGGTCTACAGTCTCAGTCCTGGATCTACAGTCTCAGTCCTGGGTCTACAGCCTCAGTCCTGGTCCTATAGCCTCAGTCCTGGTCCTATAGCCTCAGTCCTGGTCCTACAGCCTCAGTCCTGGTCCTATAGCCTCTCTTGCCTCTTGCACCGCTTCACACTCATTCAAAAGGATTGTCCGCCATCTCGGACTGACCTTCCAGATTGAGTACAGTACTCTGACCCTCAAAGGCTATTCGAACATAATGTATAATGATTGTAAAAGTGTGTGGTTCTGGATGGACGGGCAACAAAAGCCCATCATAAACTTCCTCCATTCGGTTCTGTAGAAATGTCCTCTGTATTTATAAATAATTGTTGTTGTAGAACGTTTCCAACTCCCAAAGGATTGATGTATTTTTGCCTTCAGTTTTCCCCTTTCTTCCAGCGCTTAAAGAAAGCTCCTGTAATGGAAACGAAACCCTTGGATGCTCTCGGCAAAAGGCAGTGACAACAAAGCACCTCTCACAGCGATCGGTGTCTGCGCAGATTGATGAATATTTGATTGGCTCTTAATCTGTGAGTGCGTGGAAGTGCTGAGACAAGCGGTAGTGGTGTCACGCATACACACACAAACACACAACCACACACACACACACACACACACACACGCACCAGGCTTGTGTGTGTTGACCTGGGAGGAACATGACAAACATCGACCGTGGGTCCGAGCTGCGGTAATTGCTATTGATTGTGGACATACAAGACTGTGCGCGGTGTCTGCCATCGCCAATTACCGCTCATAAGCCGCCGACCTCAGGCTCTGGACCCGGAGACTGTCAAATGAACTCCTGTCTCAAGGTGGAAACTAATATCATTTCTGGACGAGATTATAGACGAGGTTATAGATGAGGTTATGGTCGAGGTTATGGACGAGGTTATAGACGAGGTTATAGACGAGGTTATGGACGAGGTTATAGACGAGGTTATGGACGAGGTTATGGACGAGGTTATGGACGAGGGTATAGACGAGGTTATAGACGAGGTTATGGACGAGGTTATAGACGAGGTTATGGACGAGGTTATAGACGAGGTTATAGACGAGGTTATGGACGAGGTTATGGACGAGGTTATGGACGAGGTTATAGACGAGGTTATGGACGAGGTTATGGACGAGGTTATAGACGAGGTTATGGACGAGGTTATGGACGAGGTTATGGACGAGGTTATAGACGAGGTTATAGATGAGGTTATAGACGAGGTTATAGACGAGGTTATAGACGAGGTTATAGACGAGGTTATAGACGAGGTTATAGATGAGGTTATAGACGAGGTTATAGACGAGGTTATAGACGAGGTTATAGACGAGGTTATAGATGAGGTTATAGATGAGGTTATAGACGAGGTTATAGACGAGGTTATAGACGAGGTTATAGACGAGGTTATAGATGAGGTTATAGACGAGGTTATGGACGAGGTTATAGACTGGGTTATAGACGAGGTTATGGACGAGGTTATAGACTGGGTTATAGACGAGGTTATAGACGAGGTTATAGACGAGGTTATAGACGAGGTTATAGACGAGGTTATAGATGAGGTTATAGACGAGGTTATGGACGAGGTTATAGACTGGGTTATAGACGAGGTTATGGACGAGGTTATAGACTGGGTTATAGACGAGGTTATGGACGAGGTTATAGACTGGGTTATAGACGAGGTTATAGACGAGGTTATAGACGAGGTTATAGACGAGGTTATGGACGAGGTTATAGACGAGGTTATGGACGAGGTTATGGACGAGGTTATGGACGAGGTTATGGACGAGGGTATAGACGAGGTTATAGACGAGGTTATGGACGAGGTTATAGACGAGGTTATGGACGAGGTTATAGACGAGGTTATGGACGAGGTTATGGACGAGGTTATGGACGAGGTTATGGACGAGGTTATAGACGAGGTTATGGACGAGGTTATGGACGAGGTTATAGACGAGGTTATGGACGAGGTTATGGACGAGGTTATGGACGAGGTTATAGACGAGGTTATAGATGAGGTTATAGACGAGGTTATAGACGAGGTTATAGACGAGGTTATAGACGAGGTTATAGACGAGGTTATAGATGAGGTTATAGACGAGGTTATAGACGAGGTTATAGACGAGGTTATAGACGAGGTTATAGATGAGGTTATAGATGAGGTTATAGACGAGGTTATAGACGAGGTTATAGACGAGGTTATAGACGAGGTTATAGATGAGGTTATAGACGAGGTTATGGACGAGGTTATAGACTGGGTTATAGACGAGGTTATGGACGAGGTTATAGACTGGGTTATAGACGAGGTTATAGACGAGGTTATAGACGAGGTTATAGACGAGGTTATAGATGAGGTTATAGACGAGGTTATGGACGAGGTTATAGACTGGGTTATAGACGAGGTTATAGACGAGGTTATAGACTGGTGAACGGTGAGAGGCGCTTATCTCCTGATGCTGTGGATGCCATAAAGAAACCACTGCTGGAATAATAATGAAGGCCTCAGTTTTACCCAGCGCTGTTTTGGACGCTTCACTTCGTACACAGTGATGATAATCTACTACTGTAGCCACAGCTGCCCTGGGGCACACTGACAGAGGCAACCAGTCTGTGCCATCGGCCCCTCCCACCACCACCAACCATTGACACACACACCAGACTCATTCTACTGTGGGGGAAGTGTCTTGCCTAAGGACACAACAATAAATTGTGCACCTGGTTTTCCCAGAGGTCTCCCATCACAGTACTAACCAGGCCCTGTCCTGCTTAGCCTCAGAGGACTGACGGGATCTGGCTTTCTCCTGCAGGTTTGGTCACATTGTAATTATGAGGTTTTTGTCTCTTGTCGTTTTCCAATGCGAGAAAAGCTCCATCAATTTTTAGTTTTAAAACTTCTGACTCCGACGCAAAAACTTTGGATTAATTTTTAAAAATTGTCTGTTTTTGCACAAATCCTATTAAAAAAGAGAAGTTTTAGTGTTATTTTTACAGGCTCACTCAAACAAAGCGACGCATGAAGATGAAGAAAGCTCAAAAAGATTGGATTCAGTTTGTTTTTAGATTTTGATTTGTGGCACATTTATTTTTTGTTACATGGAAAATGTATTTTACACCCTCTGTCCCTCAGACCTGGATCTACAGCCTCAGTCCTGGGTCTACAGCCTCAGTCCTGGGTCTACAGCCTCAGTCCTGGGTCTACAGCCTCAGTCCTGGGTCTACAGCCTCAGTCCTGGATCTACAGCCCCAGTCCTAGGTCTACAGCCTCAGTCCTGGGTCCACAGCCTCAGTCCTGGATCTACAGCCTCAGACCTGGGTCTACAGCCTCAGTCCTGGGTCTACAGCCTCAGTCCTGGGTCTACAGCCCCAGTCCTAGGTCTACAGCCTCAGTCCTGGGTCTACAGCCTCAGTCCTGGATCTACAGCCTCAGTCCTGGGTCCACAGCCTCAGTCCTGGGTCTACGGCCTCAGTCCTGGGTCCACAGCCTCAGTCCTGGATCTACAGCCTCAGTCCTGGATCCACAGCCTCAGTCCTGGGTCTACAGCCTCAGTCCTGGGTCTACAGCCTCAGTCCTGGGTCCACAGCCTCAGTCCTGGATCTACAGCCCCAGTCCTAGGTCTACAGCCTCAGTCCTGGGTCCACAGCCTCAGTCCAGGATCTACAGCCTCAGTCCTCGATCTACGTACAGGCGCAGACAGCAGAGTGAGACGTACAGGTGCAGACAGTGGAGTGAGAGTGAGACGTACAGGTGCAGACAGCAGAGTAAGAGTGAGACGTACAGGCGCAGACATTAGTTAGAGTGAGACATACAGGTGCAGACAGCAGAGTGAGAGTGAGACGTACAGGTGCAGACCGCAGAGTGAGACGTACAGGTGCAGACCGCGGAGTGAGTGAGACGTACAGGTGCAGACAGCAGCGTGAGAGTGAGACGTACAGGTGCAGACAGCAGAGTGAGAGTGAGACGTACAGGTGCAGACTGCGGAGTGAGAGTGAGACGTACAGGTGCAGACAGCAGAGTGAGAGTGAGACGTACAGGTGCAAACAGCAGAGTGAGAGTGAGACGTACAGGTGCAGACAGCGGAGTGAGAGTGAGACGTACAGGTGCGGACAGCGGAGTGAGAGTGAGACGTACAGGTGCAGACCGCGGCGTGAGAGTGAGACGTACAGGTGCAGAAAGTGGAATGAGAGTGAGATGTACATGTGCTGACAGCAGAGTGAGAGTGAGACGTACAGGTGCAGCCGCGGAGTGAGACGTACAGGTGCAGACAGCAGAGTGAGAGTGAGACGTACAGGTGCAGACATGAGCGCGAGAGTGAGACGGACAGGTGCAGACAGGAGCGTGAGAGTGAGACGTACAGGTGCAGACAGGAGCGTGAGAGTGAGACGTACAGGTGCAGACACCAGAGTGAGACGTACATGTGCAGACAGTGGAGTGAGAGTGAGACGTACAGGTGCAGACAGCGGAGTGAGAGTGAGACGCACAGGTGCAGACATTAGTGAGAGTGAGACGTACAGGTTCAGACCGCGGAGTGAGACGTACAAGTGCAGACAGCAGAGTGATACGTACAGGTGCAGACAGCGGAGTGAGACGTACAGGTGCAGAGTGAGAGTGAGACGTACAGGTGCAGACAGCGGCATGAGAGTGAGACATACAGGTGCAGACAGCGGAGTGAGAGTGAGACGTACAGGTGCAGACATTAGTGAGAGTGAGACGTACAGGTGCAGACCGCGGAGTGAGCGTGAGACGTACAGGTGCAGACAGCAGACAGTGGAGTGAGACGTACAGGTGCAGAGAGCAGAGTGAGAGTGAGACGTACAGGTGCAGACAGCAGAGTGAGAGTGAGACATACAGGTGCAGACAGCGGAGTGAGAGTGAGACGTACAGGTGCAGACAGTGGAGTGAGAGTGAGACGTACAGGTGCAGACAGCGGAGACGTACAGGTGCAAACCGCGGAGTGAGAGTGAGATGTACAGGTGCAGACAGCGGCGTGAGAGTGACACGTACAGGTGCAGACAGCGGAGTGAGACGTACATGTGCAGATCGCGGAATGAGAGTGAGACGTACAGGTGCAGACCGCGGAGTGAGAGTGAGATGTACAGGTGCAGACAGCGGAGTGAGAGTGAGACGTACAGGTGCAGACAGTGGAGTGAGAGTGAGACGTACAGGTGCAGACAGTGGAGTGAGAGTGAGACGTACAGGTGCAGACAGCGGAGACGTACAAGTGCAAACCGCGGAGTGAGAGTGAGATGTACAGGTGCAGACAGCGGCGTGAGAGTGACACGTACAGGTGCAGACAGCGGAGTGAGACGTACATGTGCAGATCGCGGAGTGAGAGTGAGACGTACAGGTGCAGACAGCGGCGTGAGAGTGAGATGTACAGGTGCAGACAGCGGAGTGAGAGTGAGACGTACAGGCGCAGACAGCGCCTGGATCTCCTGCACCAGAGCAGCTTCTCAAACAAGACATCAGCTGCCTCTGACTATTACACACTCACATGTACATTTACAGCACTGACAGAGCCACAACAGCAGTATGTGGCTACGTGAAGAAGGAAAGTATACAGCAATTATAGAGACGGAGCTATTGTCACGTTCTGAAAAGGAGGAAGGACTCACAATACAGGACTGACATAATATAGAATTTAATAAACAAAAACAAAATCCAGGATACTTCAAACTCAAAACCAGGAAGAAACAGGAACGAAAACACAATGGACCAACAGCAAGGGGAGCATAGGGTTTGAGTACACACAGGGACACGCACACACACACACACACACACAGGGACACACACACAGGGACACACACAGGGACACACACACAGGGACACACACACAGGGACACGCACACACACACACACACAGGGACACACACACAGGGACACGCACAGGGACACGCACACACACACACACACACACGGGACACACACAGGGACACGCACACACACAAAGGGACACGCAAATACACACACACAGGGACACGCACATGCACAGGGACACACACACACACACAGGGACACACAAATGCACACACACACACACACACACACAGTGACACACACACACATACAGGGACACGTACACACACACAGTGACACACACAGGGACACACACACAGGGACACGCACACACACACACACACACAGGGACACACACAGGGACACACACACACACACACAGGGACACGCACATGCACAGGGACACACACACGCACACACAAGGACACGCAAATGCACACACACAGGGACACACACACACACGCACATGCACACACACAGGGACACGCACACACACATACACACAGGGACACGCAAATGCACACACACAGGGACACACACACACAGGGACACACACACAAGGACACGCACACACACGTGAAACACAAACACACACAGGGACACGCATACACACACAGTGACACACACACACACACAGGTGAAACACACACACACACAGGTGAAACACATTAGGGCGGGACAGGCAGTCAACTGAACAGAAATTAGCAACACTGAAAAGAACCAAAAAATCTAAATAAAACCAGGAAAAATCATCAAAAAGTCCACACCAAGTACAAGACAAACAGTACATTTCAGACAGCTGTCATCTTGTCATCTTGGTAGAAAACAAGACATTTATTCTGCTACTAAAGTCATCCAGCCAACTTCAGTTCTACCACTACCTACAGTCATGCTAACCCTCATAGTCAAGCTCAGGACCTTTGAATTTCTAAACATTTAAGTTTTATTTTGATTGGGTCACATTTCACATATGGAGTCATGTAGCTGAGATGGGAATCATATGGACATCATATTTAACTTCATTCAGCTCATGGACAAGTCTGGTTCACTAAAGTCGCCCTTTTACTAAAAAGTAGGTAAGTAATGTTTATTTTTATATCGCCTTTCTCAGACCAGAGTCAAAGCACTTTACAATTGTGTGCATTAGTCTCTCTCTCCACACAGAGATGGGGGCGGGGCCAGTACAGGAGGCACAGACCTATTGTACATGTTTTTAGTGGTATAGGGGAAACAGGAGCACCCGGAGGAAATCTACGCAGACACGGAGAGAACATGCAAACTCCCCTCAGAAAGGCCCTGTTCCGATGAGTCTTATTTTCTCACACCTGGATTCTATGATCGCTCTCCACAGTCCATACATTAAGGGATATTTATGTGCGTTTAACATGTTTGTTTGTGTTTGTCATCAGTGCATTTCCTGTGTATACAATGGTTTGATTCTCTGATTTGTTGTTGACAACTTTGTAAAGTCCCCGAGACGACTGTGTTTGGGATTTAGGGCTGTACAACCCTCCAAGTTCCACAGGAAGTTCCAGGAGCTCTAATGACAGTTCACATTTAGCCGCCAAAACACATGAAGATACCGTACTGCTAATACATGTAACGTTCACGTTGTCTGACTGAAGAAATGAAGAAGGATTTGAATACGTTTTAGGAGCTTCCCCGGTGAATACTTCGGTCTGTTGTGTTTGCATTTGATATTGAAATAGATAAATAATACTTCCAACGAGCAGCCGCAATCAAAAGGCACCACCTGGGGTCTCAGATCTATGCCCACGAGCCCACGTGCACTAGTGAGGCGTGTGGAAGGGGACCAGGCCTGGAGGAGGTTCGAATCTCGTTCATTACTGATCCACGAGATCAAAGAGCAAAGGTACAGATGAGGTCAGAGAAGAGCAAAGGTACAGATGAGGTCAGAGCAAAGGTACAGATGAGGTCAGAGAAGAGCAAAGGTACAGATGAGGTCAGAGAAGAGCAAAGGTACAGATGAGGTCAGAGCAAAGGTACAGATGAGGTCAGAGCAAAGGTACAGATGAGGTCAGAGCAAAGGCACAGATGAGGTCAGAGAAGAGCAAAGGTACAGATGAGGTCAGAGAAGAGCAAAGGTACAGATGAGGTCAGAGAAGAGCAAAGGCACAGATGAGGTCAGAGAAGCGCAAAGGTACAGATGAGGTCAGAGCAAAGGTACAGATGAGGTCAGAGCAAAGGTACAGATGAGGTCAGAGAAGAGCAAAGGCACAGATGAGGTCAGAGAAGAGCAAAGGTACAGATGAGGTCAGAGAAGAGCAAAGGCACAGATGAGGTCAGAGAAGAGCAAAGGTACAGATGAGGTCAGAGCAAAGGTACAGATGAGGTCAGAGAAGAGCAAAGGTACAGATGAGGTCAGAGAAGAGCAAAGGTACAGATGAGGTCAGAGAAGAGCAAAGGAACAGATGAGGTCAGAGCAAAGGTACAGATGAGGTCAGAGAAGAGCAAAGGCACAGATGAGGTCAGAGAAGAGCAAAGGTACAGATGAGGTCAGAGAAGAGCAAAGGCACAGATGAGGTCAGAGAAGCGCAAAGGCACAGATGAGGTCAGAGAAGCGCAAAGGTACAGATGAGGTCAGAGAAGAGCAAAGGTACAGATGAGGTCAGAGAAGAGCAAAGGCACAGATGAGGTCAGAGAAGAGCAAAGGTACAGATGAGGTCAGAGCAAAGGTACAGATGAGGTCAGAGAAGAGCAAAGGTACAGATGAGGTCAGAGAAGAGCAAAGGTACAGATGAGGTCAGAGCAAAGGTACAGATGAGGTCAGAGCAAAGGTACAGATGAGGTCAGAGCAAAGGCACAGATGAGGTCAGAGAAGAGCAAAGGTACAGATGAGGTCAGAGAAGAGCAAAGGCACAGATGAGGTCAGAGAAGCGCAAAGGTACAGATGAGGTCAGAGCAAAGGTACAGATGAGGTCAGAGCAAAGGTACAGATGAGGTCAGAGAAGAGCAAAGGCACAGATGAGGTCAGAGAAGAGCAAAGGTACAGATGAGGTCAGAGAAGAGCAAAGGCACAGATGAGGTCAGAGAAGAGCAAAGGTACAGATGAGGTCAGAGCAAAGGTACAGATGAGGTCAGAGAAGAGCAAAGGTACAGATGAGGTCAGAGAAGAGCAAAGGTACAGATGAGGTCAGAGAAGAGCAAAGGAACAGATGAGGTCAGAGCAAAGGTACAGATGAGGTCAGAGAAGAGCAAAGGCACAGATGAGGTCAGAGAAGAGCAAAGGTACAGATGAGGTCAGAGAAGAGCAAAGGCACAGATGAGGTCAGAGAAGCGCAAAGGCACAGATGAGGTCAGAGAAGCGCAAAGGTACAGATGAGGTCAGAGAAGAGCAAAGGTACAGATGAGGTCAGAGAAGAGCAAAGGCACAGATGAGGTCAGAGAAGCGCAAAGGTACAGATGAGGTCAGAGAAGAGCAAAGGCACAGATGAGGTCAGAGAAGAGCAAAGGTACAGATGAGGTCAGAGAAGAGCAAAGGTACAGATGAGGTCAGAGAAGAGCAAAGGCACAGATGAGGTCAGAGAAGAGCAAAGGTACAGATGAGGTCAGAGCAAAGGTACAGATGAGGTCAGAGAAGAGCAAAGGTACAGATGAGGTCAGAGAAGAGCAAAGGTACAGATGAGGTCAGAGAAGAGCAAAGGCACAGATGAGGTCAGAGCAAAGGTACAGATGAGGTCAGAGAAGAGCAAAGGTACAGATGAGGTCAGAGAAGAACAAAGGCACAGATGAGGTCAGAGAAGAGCAAAGGTACAGATGAGGTCAGAGAAGAGCAAAGGCACAGATGAGGTCAGAGCAAAGGTACAGATGAGGTCAGAGAAGAGCAAAGGTACAGATGAGGTCAGAGAAGAACAAAGGCACAGATGAGGTCCTGGCCCGGACCACGTGTCTCCGGCCACTCTGAGACACTGCGCCAGTGAGCTTACTCCTGTGTTCACTGACATTTTCAACTCCTCTCTGCAGTCCTGCCATGTCCCGGCCTGCTTCAAATCCTCCATCATTGTCCCCGTCCCGAAGAAGCCCAGGATCACAGGACTCAATGACTACAGACCTGTAGCACTTACGTCTGTCGTCATGAAGTCATTTGAACGCCTGGTTCTCTCCCATCTCAAGTCCCTCACCTCCCCCCTCCTGGACCCCCTGCAGTTCGCCTACAGAGCCAACAGATCTGTAGACGACGCCATTAACCTGGCCCTCCACCACATCCTACAGCACCTGGACTCCCCGGGGACCTACGCCAGGGTCCTGTTCGTGGACTTCAGCTCTGCCTTCAACACAATCCTGCCATCCCTGCTCCAGGACAAGCTCTCCCAGCTCAACGTGCCCGATTCCACCTGCAGGTGGATCACTGACTTCCTGACGGACAGGAAGCAGCGAGTGCGTCTGGGGAAGAATGTCTCGGACTCTCGGATTATAAATACAGGAGTCCCACAGGGCTGTGTTCTTTCTCCCCTGCTCTTCTCCCTGTACACCAACCACTGCACCTCCAGCCACGACTCCGTGAAGCTGATCAAGTTCGCGGACGACACCACCCTCATTGGACTCATCTCCAACAACGATGAGTCCGCCTACCAGGAGGGAGGTGGACCGGCTGGTGTCCTGGTGCAGTGGTAACAACCTGGAGCTGAACGCCCAGAAGACAGTGGAGATGATTGTGGACTTCAGGAAGAGCACTGTCCCCCCGCCCCCACCCTCCGTGATGGACTCCCCCATCACCTCTGTGGAGTCCTTCCGTTTCCTGGGCACCACCATCACCCAGGACCTCAAGTGGGAGCCGACCATCAGCTCCCTCATCAAGAAGGCCCAGCAGAGGATGTACTTCCTGCGGCAGCTCAGGAAAGCCAAGCTGCCTGCACAGATGTTGGTGCAGTTCTACACGGCCATCATCGAGTCCATCCTCACCTCCTCCATCACCGTGTGGTTCGCTGGAGCCACAGTCAGGGACAAACAGAGACTACAGCGCATTGTGCGCTCTGCAGAGGAAGTGATCGGCCGCAGCCTTCCATCGCTGCAGGACCTGTACGTCGCCCGAGCTCGAGGCCGGGCTGGTCGTATCACAGCCGACCCCTCTCACCCTGCACATGGACTATTCCAACCACTCCCCTCAGGCAGGAGGCTGCGGTCCATCAGGACTAGAACCTCCCGCCACAAGAACAGTTTCTTCCCCTCTGCTGTTGGACTCTTGAACACTTCTTAACCTGTCCCCCCGCCCTTTATAAAGTCACTTTACTGCCCATCATACGTCACTTTACTTCACTGTACTGCTGTCACCTTACATTGTGTGCACCATGTGCACTTGTATATTGTAAATAGTAACTGTAACTCTATTTTAAATTTAAATTTATTCTTTAGAAGTGTTTTTTATTCTTATTTTTATTATCTCTTTTTGACTGTTGCACTGAGCCAAAGCAATTTCCAAGTCTGTGATCTCCCGTTACTTACGTTGGCAATAAAAATGATTCTGATTCTGATGAGGTCAGAGAAGAGCAAAGGTACAGATGAGGTCAGAGAAGAGCAAAGGTACAGATGAGGTCAGAGAAGAGCAAAGGTACAGATGAGGTCAGAAAAGAGCAAAGGTACAGATGAGGTCAGAGAAGAGCAAAGGTACAGATGAGGTCAGAGAAGCGCAAAGGTACAGATGAGGTCAGAGCAAAGGTACAGATGAGGTCAGAGCAAAGGCACAGATGAGGTCAGAGAAGAAGAGCAAAGGTACAGATGAGGTCAGAGAACAGCAAAGGTACAGATGAGGTCAGAGAAGCGCAAAGGTACAGATGAGGTCAGAGCAAAGGTACAGATGAGGTCAGAGCAAAGGCACAGATGAGGTCAGAGAAGAGCAAAGGTACAGATGAGGTCAGAGAAGAGCAAAGGCACAGATGAGGTCAGAGCAAAGGTACAGATGAGGTCAGAGAAGTGCAAAGATACAGATGAGGTCAGAGAAGAGCAAAGGTACAGATGAGGTCAGACCAAAGGTACAGATGAGGTCAGAGCAAAGGCACAGATGAGGTCAGAGAAGAGCAAAGGCACAGATGAGGTCAGAGAAGAGCAAAGGCACAGATGAGGTCAGAGAAGCGCAAAGGTACAGATGAGGTCAGAGAAGCGCAAAGGTACAGATGAGGTCAGAGCAAAGGTACAGATGAGGTCAGAGCAAAGGTACAGATGAGGTCAGAGCAAAGGCACAGATGAGGTCAGAGAAGAGCAAAGGTACAGATGAGGTCAGAGAAGAGCAAAGGTACAGATGAGGTCAGAGAAGAGCAAAGGTACAGATGAGGTCAGAGAAGCGCAAAGGCACAGATGAGGTCAGAGAAGCGCAAAGGTACAGATGAGGTCAGAGCAAAGGTACAGATGAGGTCAGAGCAAAGATACAAACACAGAAAGACCTCAGGCTTTTCAGAAAACAGCATCGACAAAGTGGATCGCCCGATTGCCAAAGGGACCTCAAAGTTCCTATACCTGCAGCTGAAAGCCAGATCCTGTCAGACCTCTGAAACTAAGCAGGGCTGGATCTGGTAAGTCCTACGTTGGGAGACTTTTGGGAACAGCAGGTGCCACAGTGGGGCAGTTGCGGTTTTGTGCAGAGGCAAGACACTTCACCCACATTGCCTAGAAACGGGTCCCCAACCTTTCTCAATCAGAGAGATACTTTTATGCAGCAGGAGCGACAGAGAGCCACTTCCTTTTGTAGTCGTAATAAACGTCTATATAATACCTTCGACAAAACATGGAGAACACAGATGTGAAATATACAATAATACTGTATAATCCTACATTTATACCTAAAATAGACATGTATTAACTCATAATATAATCATTCAGGATCGTGTGTTGAACTCTAAATCCTTTGGGAAGCTACAGTACCTGAAATGGGCTCCCGAACTACAGCTTGGAGACCCTCACCTCTGTCAGTGTGCCCCAGGGCAGCTGTGGCTACAGTAGTAGTTTCTCACCACCGTGTTTGGACTGAAACAATAACAACATGTGAAGCGTTTCTGAGCGTCCAACAAAGCGATGTATAAAATGGATGCATTATTATTATCTTTATTGTCCCACTGTACGGGAAATGGATTTTGCAGCAAACAATCTCCTAGAAACAGACTCAGTCAAATCACAACATTGAATATAACAAAGAATGGATTGGTCTGGACTGGACTGGTTCTGTCTCTGGTCTTTCACTGTGCATGAGGAACAATGCATGGACTGGTTCCAGAGACTCCGTACAATTCAATGCAATTTTTGTTTAGACCTAAAATCACAGCAGCAGTCGTTTGGGAGGACTGTACAAATGTGTGGATTCGCCAACAACAGATCAGAGAATCAAACCGTTCCAACCCAGGATAAATACAGTAATAACACATAGGAGCCATTGGTTCATAGGGAGCGGGACGACCAATGTCCATAAATGTTCTGGATCGGCAAGGAACCAATCAAAAAAGACAGTATGAGAAAGGAGAGTCCATCATAGATCCAAGACTCAGGCTGTAGAACGAGGACTGAGGAGAGTCCAGGCCCAGGACAGACCAGTCCACAGGTGCAGATGAAAGAGGCCGGGTTCAGGGCGGTTCATCTCACCATGAAACAGACACTAGGCCAGCGAGTGAATAGCAATGAACAGACTACAACTGAAATTATGAGGATGACAGAGAGAGTAGAGAGGAGAGGATTGTGCTGAAGTGTCTCTATAGGGATGTACCGATCCAATATTCAGTATCGGTGTCGGGGGCCGATATGGGTATTTTGTAACTTTTCAGCATGCTCACGCTTTACGGCTAGCGTAAACTAAATACAATGTAAAACTAGGGCTGGGCGATAAAACGACAACGAGATATATTGCGATAGACACGTGTTCGATATCGATAGAAAACGGGGTCGATAGAATGTTAGTTTAACGTCACTCCTTTAGAAAAAACAGGACGAAAACACAGGAAGTAAAGCCGAGTCAGAGGCGCGGGGCATTCTGGGGGATGTAGGCAGAGACTTCTCGACCTATCACAGCCAAGCGTCAACCGCAAAACTTTCTGGGAAATGCATAAATAACAACCGCACAATGCGTAGCGTCCATGGATCTAAAGATTGTTTTTCAGTGCCGTGTCAGTGGTTCTGCACGTCTCTGTGAGGCTTAGCATGTGCAGCGCTGTGGCAGTGGACACAGAGACCTGGGGCATGCGGCGAAGGCAAGTGATGAACTTTTTCCTCCGTGCGGCTATCAGAGAGCTATCAGAGAGCTATCAGAGAGCTATCAGAGAGCGGCCGCACAGAGCCGTCATGGGGACACAAAACAGGAGATAAACCAGGACTAAACCAGGATTACACCATGCAGGACTAACTATGGGGGAGACTGTGTGAACATATTCCTCGAGCCTCATTCCCCCGTGACTGTAAACAGGGCTGCTAACGTGTGTTAGCGACACGACAAACTTATTTATTCAGGTAAAAATGCAAAATCTTTAATGCTTTGAAAATATTAGAAAAAATGGTATCGGATCGGTATCGGCAAAACAATATTTAGAATATCGGGATCGGATCGGATTACTAAAAATCTGGATCGGTACATCCCTAGTCTCTATATGCAGCTCCATTGACAATCTGTGTT